TTTGTTTAAACGAAAATCAAACTCTGAATTCCCATCAATTTTGGATGATTCACTACAATAGTCCTAAGATTACACCTTTGGCATTACTAACTTTGCCAGTGTCTCATTAATTCGAGTTCTCAAGTTGAAACATCTATGGTTCTCAAGTTGGAAAAAATTGAATTCCAAAAAGCTTCTATACCCCTAGTATAGGTCAAAGTCTCTACCATGTCAGCTTCTTAAATCTTAAGTGTTCAAATGTGGCCTCACTAAGTGATATGACATAAATGACTTAGCTCTTGTTAGTCATGTAAACATCAAATAGATAGAGATTAACTTTGAGACTATGAATCTCTACATTTATGGGGGTCATAAAATATTTAAGCCTCTTATACAATTTAATAATTTAATGATAAGAACAGAAGAAACTTGATTTAAATTTTGGTCTTTTCATTTTGTTCCATACATATGCATTGTTTTCAGTACTCCACTGTATAGTTAACTACAATCATGATATGCCTATATTTTTCATTGAATTAATAGTTCACAATGTCTATTTGCATAAAATTAATTGTATATATAGTGTAATTTCAATTTTTTTTATTAGTAAATATATAACATTCTACTTTATTTTCTCATTTTTCTTTTATTGTTTTCTGTATAACAGGCCTGGAGTATTGCTTCTTTATCCTTTGTAAGTATATGGGCATATCCTGTATCAGTAATTTTCAACTTCCTAATTAATTTTAATTGAAACAAGAAGAAACACAAACTGATCAAAGGCATGCACATAATCTGATGTATGGATTACTATTGGATATGATAACTAAATGTGATGTGTTGTGAGTAAATATAACAGATACGCATCAATGAGGGCAATTGAGAGTCCTTCAACCTTAGATGATCAGCAGTGGCTAACATATTGGGTTTTATACTCCTTCATCACCCTCTTTGAGCTTTCATGTTACAAGATCCTAGCATGGTACGTACATATTATAACATACAAAATTCAATATATTCATAACCAAAAAGAGCATAAATTAAATATATTTACAATCTATTTTAATCTTTCAAAAGTTCTTTCATGAACCGGAGATAAAAAATAAGGCTAAAATAGATTTGTAGTCTTTCAATTTTTTTTTTAAATGTATACACATATAACAATTTATACATTTATTCTAGTCCATCTCTATCTATCATATTATTTATTAAATTTCAAATTCTTATCCCTTTCTTTTTCTTTGTTGTAAAATTTATATTACAAATATCATTTTTCTATATATATTTTTTTGTTTTAGTTTGGTCTTAGTTTTTTTTTTCTCTTTAGTTCCTTATGGAATCCCCATTAGACTAAATTAATCATTCCCTTAGTTTATTATTATAATAATAATAATTATTATTATTATTATTATTATTTTTCAATATTGATTATGGTTGATGTTACAAACACCGAAATGATGTGATATTTCATAATTTGTCACATATCACCAAAATGACCAAATTAGTGTAATAAACTAATATGAACTTTAATTAGCAAAAAATATAAAATTAAAAAATCTAAAAAATAAGCTGAATTAAACAGATTGTAATAGCAACTTAACATTATTTCCGCGAGTAAACAATTATTATATATTTTTAGGTTTCCAATTTGGCCATACATGAAGCTAGTGTTTTGCCTGTGGCTGGTATTGCCAATGTTCAATGGAGCTGCTTACATTTATGAAAACTTTGTGAGGCAATACATGAAGAACATAGGAAGCTACTATGGAAATTCCAAGTATCCTGAGGATCAAAAGAAAGTTCTTCAGATGATGAGTTTTGATGCAAGGAAAGCAGTTGAACGTTATATAGATACATATGGCTCTGAAGCTTTTGAGAGAGTAATTAGAGCAGTATGTTATAAATAACTTACTTTATCATTTGGTTAAACAGTTTTTTTCCTGGAAATATATAAAAGGTCGATTTTTTTTAAATGTGTCAAATTTTATCTCTGTCACTAATTTTTTTAATCTAATTTAATAGTGATTTTGGTCAACTCCAATATTTTTGGACTTATATAAATTAGTATGTGTGTAAAACGTTTGGTGGCGTCATGTTAAATTGGATTAACAAAATTTATAATAACTGTAAAGCTTGACACATTTTAAAAAAAGACCAAATATTGACATTTTAAAATTAAAGGATTAAAAATAAATTTTTACATATTTATGGGATTCTTTTTATCATATAGAAATTTTTACCTGTGTTATAGATAATATATATTTTTATATATTTTTGAATTTAATTGCAGGCTGATAAAGAAGCAAGGAAGCACTGAAGATCAATTTTTCGAAATTGATTCTTTAAGAATTTACAGTTGTAATCATTAATTCTTGTGCATGCATAACTAGGTCTAAGAATTACCCTTTAATTAAATGCCATCAATCTTGAGCTTAGTTTTTACCCTGTAAAATTATCTGCATGTATTGTTTCCATGAAATGAAAATTAAGGGGATTCCACAGTTCCATTCCGGTGATATATATATATATATAGTTATTTCATAACAAAAATGTTGGGCAGTTGATCTTAGACTACTTTTAAATTTTATTGTTAGAATAAATCATATTTTGTTAAATATGAGATCATTTAAACGAAGGAATATTTTAAAAATATTATCATTAAATAGAATAAAATTAGTTGATATTTGTTTATATTTGAGACTAATATACATGTTTTTCTTTTTACCTTTTATTTAAGATCGGAGTGAGTTCTGAACTACTGAGTATTACTTAAAGTGACATTAACATCCATTGCCTTCAAAATACTAGGTTACCCGAACCTGATCCTCATTGAAGTAAATTAACATCTTCTGTATTATTTCTCATTGTGACATAATTTTATACATTTACACATGTATTGTATTATCAGAGTGTGCAATGTGAGAGCTGAACAAACATCTTTTGATAGATACAAAAGTGATTACAATTACAAAGAAAAAAGAGGACAGCTCCTCTTATATACAACAAATTCTCTAACAACCGAAGTAAAAACGGAAAAAATAAAAAACAAACATAATTATCTAATTTTATATCGTTTATCTAACAGTAATATATTAGATACCTTCCAAACACAATCAAAGTGAAGGACAAAGGTTGGAAAAGAAATCCTAGTAACACTTTTTACCCTTCTCTCTTATTGGTTAAAAGTTATTAAAATTTCTATAATTTAGTGAGTCTTACACCATATTTAATACTTATAAGTTTGTAATTTTTAATGAATTTTAACTAATAAAAAATATATTAAAGAGTGTTTTTTTTTGGAATATTAAAGAGTGTTAAGAGAATATATTTCTAGCACTATTTAAGATTAGAAATTTAGCAATCTCGGATGAGAATAAATAGTCCTTACCATCTCGACTTATGGAGACTTTAGTCCTTACAAATTAAAACCATTTCAATATGCTTTAGTTTTGAATTTCCTAATGGCACAATGATTTAAAATGATAACACAACATAACCCCAGCATTTTCTCTCACTCCATTGTCATTCAAGCTTAAAAGAAACACCTAATGGTTAATCAGTGGCTAATTAAAACCTTAACTTCAGATTAGTTTAGCGATATCTGTGTAAAGAATGAACTAATCCCTTATTGTGAAGTGGACAATACCAGATTCTAAAATAATCAAAGGCATCAGCGACCATCTTTGGAGATAAATTCTTAAGCAGCATGAAACTTCAAAAATTAGACCTGGATTGTTAAGAGGCTAAAAGGAACCATTGATTTTCCATCTGTTTGAGAAACCTGCCAGTATTATACATTGACAAGTCTGTTATGTTCACGGGGATCCACTAATAAGGCAAAAACTAGCATCATAAAGTGAAGTGTTACACCTAAAATATGTACATTTTTGTCAATTTCCCTTGAAGTTCTAGATCCCTACCACAGTCGTTAGTCGCAGCAATAGGAATGGCAGAATGGATCGGTGTTGAGTTATCCTGATTCTCAGAAGGTTTCAGGATATGCTTAGCACCTGGACTAAGTTTCACAGGACCTGATTTTACCATGCCATCCAGGGGATAAGAATCAAAACCAAGATAACTTCTTGGATTTAGATTTTGAGCCTCACCCTGACAACCATTACTTCTTGCACCCACTTGGAGATCGAGTTCAACTGCTCTTGTGTTTTGCTGCAAGTTTGTCCCAGAGGTTTCTCGAGCCAGCTCAGTCATGCGAGTTACGTTTTTGTGCACTTGTATGCGAGGTAACTTGTTAGGTGTTTCAGGATCAACAAGATTATCTGCGGGTCTCTTCCTGGAATTTGTGCTTGGATGATAGTCTTTGGCAGTGATATCATCTAACTTAAATATGCTTCTACAACCATCTATGGCAGAGGGTGGTTTGGTAAAAGGGGAAACTGTAGCATGTGAAGGCTGAGAAATTGATGCTGGGTAAAACAGGGCCTTTGTGGGAAAGTCAGAAGTCACACAATTAGGAGGATACAAAAGATCTGCTGAATGATTCACAAATGGGACAGTAGAATTTCTCCATGTATTCGGAGGAAAACACGTACTAGAGGAGCTCCCTGGTATCCTTTCGTATTTTGAAACTAACGACCATGGTGGCAAATTTCTATAGGACCTCTTGAACCAAGATGATCTGGCCTGTTCTTCAACAATTGGGTGCAAGAAAGGAAATCCAAGGGATGAATTTGTGACACGATGGTGCTTATTCCAGGCATTCAGCTCACCGTTGTTTGAAGTAGACTGATTGAAATCGCAAGGACTAGATGGTATCTGAGAATGAAAGAAGAAACCTTGAGGTGCTCTATTGTACATTGCACCCGAAGGAGGCGCTTGGGTAATAGGATGAAAATTAGAACTAGCATTTCTGCTGACTCCATTTTGGGATATATCATTACTTTGCAGATTAAGAAATTCAAAGTTTGAACCATTCAACAGTAAGGTACTTTGTAATGCCTGATTGCTTTGAATGTTCACTGATTGTGACACATTCTCAGATTGCATCTGTAGTTGAGAACCAGGTGCCCTATCCGGCACAGAGCATCTCCCCAATAAAGAATTGTCCTTAGCAGCATCTACAGAATACTTCTGGATTCCTCATCAGCCCAAGGAACTCCTCCCACAAATTGGTTCTTTTCTTTGCTGCTTCTTCCAATCGGAACATCTTTACCCATCAACCTCATTGTTGGTTGGCTGGAACTTGGTGAAACAAGACCCGAGCTTCCTCTTGGGGAAACCATTCCATATTCCTTGTGATTTGGCACCTTTTGAAGTTGATTCTGTTCAATGACAGGGTTTCTCATAAGGTTCAACTCTGAATCAAGTGACTGGACATAGTGATTGGAACCCCAGTCAGAATTATGCTGGTAGATATCTGCTCTCTCCCTTCCATGTCCATGTAAATGTCTAACACTTAACCCGCCTGGATAATGCGAAATTGGAAGCAACTACAAAATATGATTCTAAGATATAATATTATAAGATAAACAGAATTCAAGGTAGTAGTGATACATAACGATATTTTTCAAACTATATGTTACCAATTTTTTTCAACTATTTGCATGTTACATACACTTCATCCTTAGTCTTGATATAAAACTATGTGCTCTGACAAGTCAAAGGAATGTATTGTGTACAAAGACTGGCCACATTGATGAAGTAATCAACATGTAGATAACAGGATCCTTTCTGGAGGATTTGGGCACATGACACAACCCCACTTTTGAACCTAATGATATTGTAACCAGCTCCATTTTTCTGCCAATAAACACAAATTTCAAATCTATTTCGAAACACTAACCCAGGTATTTTAATGCAATGTTAACCACTAAATTTGAGTTTGAATGTGACCAAAGCCACCATGTTCAGTGTTATGATACCTGCTATGTAGCTCTAGCCTTGATCAATCCCTTAACATGCAGTTTCAGCTTTCAAGCAGAATGGTGAAAGTTGCAACTTCCCTATATCTAAATTGTTAAAATCAGCTTAAACTAAGGTACTCTAGAAGTACAAAGCAGCATAGCAATTTTACAAATAATATACTTCCAGCATCAAAGTCCAGCTGATCAAAAGAAGACTTAACCACATTGGTGTATATATGAACACCTGAGAATTTACCTCGCTTCCCAATTTTCAGCAATACCGCACGTTTCATGTAGCAGTAGTGAACCTTCCCATTATCCGAATGCCGCACTAAGCATGTCCCCAAGTACCAAATTTCCAGTTTCATCATTTCAAATTTGGTAATCTTGTGCATAACCATAGTAGTTTCCATCTGGTTCCACAAGAACTTCATCAAGTCAACATCACTCATCAATTACAATGAGAGTCATTTATCCACCAAGACCAAGAAACAATAACTTACCAAATGTCTTGCAGCACAACGATAATAGTCTCCCTTTCCATGACAGTCATGGCAATCATCAATCACAAGACCCACGGATCAGTGACTTCACTCCAACAAAGGCCCCTCCAACAATCACCACACAATCAAGGCACAAACCGTGCCAATCTGATCCTCAACTTAACCTTCCTCGCTTCATTTGTAAACCCAATACTCTGAAGCCCATCAATAACCGCCCGCTGAGTGGCCCTCAACACCTGATACCCACATTTCAAACACGAAACCAAAACTTTCGAGGCGCAAAGGAACTGTCTCGCCCTGCAAAGGTTGTGCACCAAGATGGTATAAGAAAACGAATCCTTAACCTCCATCATCTCAAACAACTTCACAGCATGATCAATATGCCCAGCCTTCCCCAACCCATCAAGCATACAGTTAAACGCAACCAAATTATACCCAAACCCCAAACCATTCATATAGCTCAAATGCCTCTCAGCCCCAGCAAAATCCCCTGCCTTACACAACCCATCAATGATAATAGTATGCGTGTACTTATCACACACCAAACCCTCCTCCTCTATCTCCTCCACCACCTTCAACGCCTCATCCAGCTTCCCCTGCCTGCAATAAAGGTTAATCAAAGTGTTATACGCCACCAGATCCGGCCTCACGCCGGAACCCACCATAATCTCAATAATCTCATTCGCCTCGCGCATCCTACCGGTCTTAATCATCGCCGCGATCACAGTGCAGTACGCGAATCCATCGAACGTAAACCCTAAATCCCTCATCTCCGACAGAATCTCCAACCCCTGCTCGAAATTCCCGCACCTGAAGCAGCACTTCATCACGGTGGTGTAGGTAACCGCGTTCGGCGCGAGTCCCGAATCGGCGAACTCCCTCAGCACGTCGCTCGCGGCCTTCAGCCGCTTCGCCCGGCAGAGGCCGTTGATGAGCGCGTTGTAGGTCAGAACCTGCGGCGCGAAGCCGAACCGCCGCAGGTTCCGGAAGAGGCTCAGCGCGTGCGCGACGTGGCCGTTCCGGCAGAGGCCGTTGATCATGACGTTGTACGTGGCGGCGCTGGCCACGCCGCGGAGCGCGACGTCCCTGAAGACGCGGTTCGCCTCGTCGGGCTTGCCGAGCTTGAACAGGCAGTGCATGAGGATGTTGTAGCTCCGCGTGTCGGGGGCGACGCCGCGCGCGAGCATTTCGTCGAACAGGTCGAGGGACTTGGAGAGCAGGCACTGGCGGACGGCGCCGGAGATCAGGGAGTTGTACGAAACGACGTCGGGGGGGATCCCGGCGGCGCGCATCCGCGAGAGGACGGAGTGAGCGGCGTCGACGGAGGCGAAACGGCAGTAGCCGGCGATTAGGGTGTTGTAGGTGACGGCGTCGGGGAGCACGCCGAGTTTTATGGCGTCGATTATCGCGGACTCGGCTTTCGGCAACTGCTTGGCTTTGCAGAGAGAGGATAGGGTTATGTTGAGGAGCTTCGTCGATAGTGCTGAAGAGTGTGGGCCGCAAAACGGCATCGTTTTGGAGCTCGCGAGGGGAGTGAGAAGCGAATGGAGAGAGTGTGCGGGCGTTGATTGTGGTGCGGACAAGGTTGAAAGTGGAAAGACGCGGGAGCATGGTTCCAACAAGAGAAGCATACAAGAAGAAGCCAGAAGAATGGGGAGGTTTTGGGGGCTTTGAATTGAACCACTTAAATTGTGTCCAATTTATGAAAGTAAATATCTCTTATAATTGTATTAAAATATTTAAATTTCACATAAGATATGAATTATAAAATAAAATAAATGTAAGTAAATATATTTTTTCTTATATATATAATTTTTTAAGAAATTAAATTTATATAGATTTCCAATTGTTATGAACATGTTTGATACAAGTTAGAAGTATTTTTTTTTAGAACTTCTTTATTCAAAATAAAATATAAAATATTTTTAATAATGAAACTCTAAAAAGTGTTTCTAAATTTGTATTCAAACAAGTTTTATGTTTAGTGTTTCCTTTTCATATGACTAATACATTTGCAAAAAGAAAGCCAAAATAGAAAAACAAAATATTACATACTTTTTGTTAAAGCATCACTTAAGAACAAGTTTCAATTTCTATCATTATTAAAGTTTGGAGAAAATAAATGTCACTCCTTTCCACTTCTCCACTGCCACTGCCCCCCTTTCACTTCTCTGACTTCAACTTCGGCCACTAGATGACACCCTCATATCAATGCCATCAACACCTTCACATGTGTTTCTTTTTGTTTATACTTCTTTTCTTTCCAATCCATCCATGGACGAGGAACCAAAAAACCAGTTACACGATGAACTCCAAAAACTAGCTTCGATAAAAGAAGTGCAACTTGTCACAACCCCCCATCAACTACCTAAGCTAAACTAGAACTTGTAAAAAATCCAATAATCACCATCGAAGGTGAGCTTGAACCTGAAGAGAAACCAACAAGCATCGAAAAAGTAGAGAAGACCGATGAAAATAAGATTTCCAAATTGACTTCCTTTAAGTAGGGGACCAAAGTGGTAGTCAACCTCCCCGCCCATGTTATAGTTGCAACTGCAGCCACGAGAATGTATTGCTGTCAGTGAAAGACAAGCAATAGCCACTGGATTAAGTCCAAATAGTTTATATAAAAAAAAAGTTCTTTTAGTAATTTTAAATAATTTAAATAAGAAAAATAAATAAAAATATTTACTGTTCACCTTTCTATCGGTGGAGAATATTTCTCCACCTTAAAAAAAACTGTTAGCCCCTTTAAAAATCAAATAAATTAGTTTTAATTAAAAGTCCTCTTGAGTGTTCACTTTTGGGCTGAGCCGGTCCATCATCTGTTGTTAGTTGTACTGTGGGCAATGCGTGCTCTTTTTGTTGACTCAAAATCTGATGTCTTTATTCTGCTAAGGAATAAAAAAGACTTGAAATTTCCATGATGGCTGCAACCTTTGCTTCCAATGTTCTCCTGGTATGTTATTTTCACAACCCAAATTGTCTTTTTCTTTTCAAAGATTAAATTTTTTATTTCCAAAACCTGATAATGCGTTGCATTCATGCTCTAATAAGTTCAATGGAAGTTTGAGGTTCATTTTATCACAAGTATATATTATTTCTGGCTCTGTGAGCTTCAATGTTGTCTCCAATGTAATTGATATTTGTGTAAATTATAAAGGACACTGCTCGGATTCATTTTTTGGTATTTACCCCTTATGTATTAGTTTGATGTTTGACTTTACAGTATTAGGGAGTTTTTTTTTTTTTTTTTAATGTTTTGACTATTGTAGGATTCCTTTGGCATGTTAAAAAGTGGCAAAATTTTAATTTTGATTTTGATGTTTCTGGTGTGTACTATGGTTATGGAACCCTGAATCTTATTTTTGAGGGGAGGGGGTAGTTGTGATTGTTGAATATGAGTAACGCTACTCAACGACCAAGTTTATGATGCAACCACCAATTTGGTTGCAGTGATACAATTGCCAGTATTTTTGACTGCTGAATTGAGGTATACCTGTCATATTTGAAAGAATGAACTAGTTGTTTAGTTGTGTTGCGTGTTTCTTATGTAGTAACAAAACATACTACTTAGTGACAAATAGTGAGATTTTTTGCATTGATACTTATACTTTAAATATATTGATACAGTGTTACTGTAATTGATAACTAAGTTGTGTCAAAGTACAAAGAAAAATTGTTTAGAAAAAATGCTTTGTGAATTAGCTACATACCCACATGTACCAAATGAGTACTAGAACTTGACATGTTCCTGATATGGGTAATTGGGTATGGTAGCCATATAAGAGTACCTGTGCATCGTAACTCATTGGTTATGCACTTTCCATTACTTTCTCTGATTACATGCATCTTTAACATTGAATTTGATTTCCTATTCATACTGGCAGCATCTCTAAGTTTTTTGTTTAATTTTCGAGATTGAGTTATGATTCATGAATACTACTAGATATGGCCCTAAGCTAAATTTCATCTAACTCTTTAAATACGTTAGGATTGTTGACTCAAGTTGTTGTTATTGTTTTATGTTTAGCTGACCGGGAAGCCACTTCACTTAACTGTCAAGTCAATAAGTCCGGGAGATTGAACTACCTTTACATAGTTATACATTATGTGTAGTTGTGAGTTGTCTTAGTTTGTCTTTTTACTACTCTTTTTCTAGAGCAAGGAAAAAATTTCATGCCTAGAATCATATATGTTAAATAACTGTTATAGTGCCGCCATGAAGCTATAACGTGGCTTTTTTCGACCCCTCTACCCACTATAGGCAATTTGTGAAGGGAGGCCTGCTATGGTGGTGCCATAGGCCGCAATGGTGTTTTTATATGGTGAAATTTTGGCCTTCTGTGATATTCTGCCAATCGAGGTTGATAACCTATCTAGAATTACAACTACACGATGTATACCATGTCTGTTAGCTTTGTTCTCTTAGAAGTAGAATATAAATCTCAGATAATTTTATTCATTGTGTAATTTGAACAAATGGCTAAATCTTAGGGACCATGAAAGTCAAGAATCAATTCCACTTTCATAAGTTGTCAAGTAAGAGAACTAAATACCTAAAACAGCTTTTATAAACCCACAGAAATGAAGCTCAATTCATAAAAGTTGACTCACATACCCCTTCGCAAGATGAAGTAGTGAATTTCATAATTTTAAAGGCCGTGAATGATTCAAGTTCTAACTCATAAGGCAAGCTCCGGTTTTTCTTGTTGCCTCTGCTGAAGCTTTCTTTGCCTTGGTGAAAATGAACAATCTTTTGGGACTTAGAAAGATAATAAGTTGCTTTGGAAATGTGCCCTTTTAGCAAGAGTGGCATGCATTTGGATGCAGTGTAATTCCAGCATTTTAGCCAAAATTTTCTTCTTCATCTCATATAGGGTGGGTTTGTACTCTTAGCTTCCTTTTATGTTTATGCATTTGACGTTTGAAAGGCTTTTTTTATGCATAACATGCTAAGGAATATTTGCTATTTAGAGCTGATGTATTTTTTTCTTCCTTTCTTTTTTGTTGTAGTATCATTTGTATCACTGAGAACATTCCTGAACCTCCTGTTACGTGCTTCTATCCTTAACTATTGCAAGACGATTTTATTGTTTGGAAAAATGTAGCATTGGCCAAATTTTATGCTTTCAATAATCCTTTTGTTCAACAACTAGTTTTAGAGCTAGCCTGAAATCTCATGTATTAAGCTCCATTTTTCTCTCATGCCTCAGATGCCTTCCTCCTATCATTCTCTTTCATAATAATAAAATCATTACATGAGTACTTTTTATGTTGACTAGTGGAATCGAGATACTTTGTGTGTCTATATTTTATTTAATAATAATATTTAATAATTATTAATATTTATTAGATGAACTGGTGTTGTACTTGGTCTTCAAATCTCAAGACATTAAGTTAAAATCTTGTATTTGTAAAAGTAATTATTTTTTATTATTTAAAAATTTAAAGATAAAATCGTTTAAAAAATGTATACATCAAATTAGGCTTTTGTCTTTATATATATTATAAATAAGATGATATTTTCACTTATAACTTTTTACTTCTTTTAATTTCATGTGTTGAAAAACCAAAATAGTAGGTTGTTCTCTGCTCGGGGGATTAAGCAATATTTCCCCTAGTTTATTTTCCACATCACATGAGCTGACATGCAGCAATTTCTTTTCTTAGGTCAGCGTATGAATTAAATGCAAGATCATGTTTGGACTATTTTTAGTTATATATTTTCATCAACACTATACTCATGTGTGCCCCACATGGTGTTGGTGAACCTATATTGCTGCAAACATTAACTTTTCCTTGTACTACAAACATATGCATGTTATTAAATAAGTCACAAATCCATTCCTTCAGCCTCTGCTACACTTTTCTCTTACCCCAAACCAACAAATCTCTTGCCATTTTGCAGCAACAACGCACCTTCATTCAGATGAGGACTGTTCTGAAGGTTGTGGATAACTCCGGGGCTAAGAAGGTGATGTGCATACAAGCATTGAAAGGGAAGAAAGGGGCAAGATTAGGTGACACAATAATAGCATCTGTGAAGGAAGCACCTCCTAATGGAAAAGTGAGGAAAGGGAAGGTTGCATATGGGGTAGTTGTGCTTGCAGCAATGCAAAGGGGGCGTTGTGATGGCAGTGAGGTCAAGTTTGATGATAATGTTGTGGTGCTTGTTGACAAGCAAGGCCAACCTATTGGAACAAGAGTTTTTGGACCAGTGCCTCGTGAACTGAGACAAAAGAAGCATGTCAAGATTCTTACCTTGGCAGGACATATTGCATAAAGAGTTAATCACCTATATACTGTCAGTGTAAAGTTTTTTTACATTAGCAACTAATTATATCCTTTAATTGTGCCAAGTTATTATAAATGACATGGCACAATTAAAAGATATAATTGGTTGTCAATGTAAAAAAATTTCACTGATATTGTATAGGTGATTAAGTCTTGCATAAATGAGAAAAAAGGGTTGTATGAATTCCAATATCACATCTACCAATTTCATATTTTGATTTAGTTTCTAGCCTAAAAATGCACTAGAGACAGATAGTAACAGAGCAACTATTTATAATTATGATGAATTTTTTTTATTTACATAAATGCTTACTTTTGAATAATTAATTATCTATAACAATATATAACGAGGATATAATATATTTTTTTTAAGACATTTATATCTTTTAGGATATAATATTTTTTTACACATTTTTAAGACATTTATATCTTTTATTTATTTTGATAGTTGCATACTTTTGTTTTTAATATAAGACAATTCATTAATTTTATTTTATTAAATTAAACAAAAATTATTAATTTATCCAAAACATTTTTTTCTAATAAATTGCAACTCCACTACAGCTTTGTAACTTACACACAATATTTACAAGACACAAAATTGTCTTTATTTTGCTAATTTTAAATAAAATGTATTAACTGCTTACTCTTGTTACCAATTAACCCTAAGGTACTAATTAGACCTTTTTCTTTTAACTGAGTTTTTCCCTTTTGAGTATCATGCTAGTGAGTAGAAATTGGCAGGAGGTGGAAAGAGTTTTAGTACGAGCATACATGCTAACATTATGTGAAAGTCGAGAAAAGAAAGTAAGGAATTTTGATATGTTAATTGAATATACTATTTACAAGTTCAAAAGCACATGCAAATCCCAATCTTTTCAAATTCACATCCTTCCCTTGCACATGCTTAACCTTTATGGTTCTTTCTTCTCATTAGGGAAAAGAAGACTTTTGGGTTGTCCCTCAAACATTCTTTGCTTGCTTTGTTTACTTTGCTAGCACTTCAATATATATACCCTCGAAACTACTTGCTTGTATATCTAACTTTACACTTCGACTCATTTCACCATTTCTTTGTGGACTTGCGACAAAAGGTCTTAATAACTCAACTTCTTCATCATGGGCATCCTTGGAACAATAGCAAGACATATGGATACAATAGTGGGGTAAATGAATCTCTCTCATATCTCATCATATATGCAACTTATTTTCATCAAGACAAAAATTAGATCAAATTCTTTATGTTCTTACACCATTAAGTTTTCAAATCAATTAATGATATATAATTTCTGTATTCCGTTAACATATTCTTAATGGAAGCTATTTAATGTTAGTAAAATTCCATGTTTTACCATATAACCCGGTCCATGCATGAATTTGCTTGGTTGATATATTGGCCACGGGGATCAAGTAGTGACATACTAGAACATCTGTTTCAAGTATGTATTGTTTGTTTGTTTAAACGAAAATCAAACTCTGAATTCCCATCAATTTTGGATGATTCACTACAATAGTCCTAAGAGTACACCTTTGGCATTGCTAACTTTGCCAGTGTCTCATTAATTCGAGTTCTCAAGTTGAAACATCTATGGTTCTCAAGTTGGAAAAAATTGAATTCCAAAAAGCTTCTATACCCCTAGTATAGGTCAAAGTCTCTACCATGTCAGCTTCTTAAATCTTAAGTGTTCAAATGTGGCCTCACTAAGTGATATGACATAAATGACTTAGCTCTTGTTAGTCATGTAAACATCAAATAGATAGAGATTAACTTTGAGACTATGAATCTCTACATTTATGGGGGTCATAAAATATTTAAGCCTCTTATACAATTTAATAATTTAATGATAAGAACAGAAGAAACTTGATTTAAATTTTGGTCTTTTCATTTTGTTCCATACATATGCATTGTTTTCAGTACTCCACTGTATAGTTAACTACAATCATGATATGCCTATATTTTTCATTGAATTAATAGTTCACAATGTCTATTGCATAAAATTAATTGTATATATAGTGTAATTTCAATTTTTTTATCAGTAAATATATAACATTCTACTTTCTTTTCTCATTTTTCTTTTATTATTTTCTGTATAACAGGCCTGGAGTGTTGCTTCTTTATCCTTTGTAAGTATATGGGCATATTCTATATCAGTAATTTTCAACTTCCTAATTAATTTTAATTGAAACAAGAAGAAACACAAACTGATCAAAGGCATGCACATAATCTGATGTATGGATTACTATTGGATATGATAACTAAATGTGATGTGTTGTGAGTAAATATAACAGATACGCATCAATGAGGGCAATTGAGAGTCCTTCAACCTTAGATGATCAGCAGTGGCTAACATATTGGGTTTTATACTCCTTCATCACCCTCTTTGAGCTTTCATGTTACAAGATCCTAGCATGGTACGTACATATTATAACATACAAAATTCAATATATTCATAACCAAAAAGAAGCACAAGTTAAATATATTTACAATCTATTTTAATCTTTCAATTCTTTAGAAAAACATGGCTAAAATAGATTTGTAGTCTTTCATTTTTTTAAGATGTGATATACATATAACAATTTATACATTTATTTTATGTCCATCTCTATCTATCATATTATTTATTATATTTCAAATTCTTATCTCTTTCTTTTTCTTTGTTGTAAAATTTATTGTACAAGTATCATTATTTTTCTATTTTTTTTTTGTTTTAGTTTGCTCTTAGTTTTTTTTTCTTTAGTTCCTTATAGAATCTCCATTAGACTAAATTAATCATTCCCTTAGTTTATTATAATAATAATTATTATTATTATTATTATTTTTCAATTAATAGTTTTGATTATGGTTGATGTGGCAAAAACCGAAATGATGTGATACTTCTCATAATTTGTCACATATGACCAAGATAACCAAATTAGTGTAATAAACTAATATGAACTTTAGCAAAAAATATAAAATAAAAAAATCTCTAAAATAAGCTGAATTAAACCGATTGTAATAGCAACTTAACATTATTTCCGCGAGTAAACAATTATTATATATTTTTAGGTTTCCAATTTGGCCATACATGAAGCTAGTGTTTTGCCTGTGGCTGGTATTGCCAATGTTCAATGGAGCTGCTTACATTTATGAAAACTTTGTGAGGCAATACATGAAGAACATAGGAAGCTACTATGGAAATTCCAAGTACCCTGAGGATCAAAAGAAAGTTCTTCAGATGATGAGTTTTGATGCAAGGAAAGCAGTTGAACGTTATATAGATACATATGGCTCTGAAGCTTTTGAGAGAGTAATAAGAGCAGTATGTTATAAATAACTTACTTTATCATTTGGTTAAACATTTTTTTATTGTCCTGTAAATATATAAAAATTCGTTTTTAGTTTTTCATTTTTAAAAGGTCGATTTTTTATCTCTTTTTTTTTTTTTAAATGTGTTAAATTTTATCTCTATCACTAATTTTGTTAATCTAATTTAATAGTGATTTTAGTCAACTCCAATACTTTTGGACTTATAAATTAGTATATGTGTGTAACACGTTTGGTGGCATCATGTTAAATTGAATTAACAAAATTTATAATAACCGTAAAGTTTGACACATTTTAAAGAAAGACTATATATTGACATTTTAAAAATAAATTTTTACATATTTATGGAGTTCTTCTTATCATATAGAAATTTTTATCTGTTATAGATAATATATATTTTATATATTCTTGAATTTAATTGCAGGCTGATAAAGAAGCAAGGAAGCACTGAAGATCAATTTTTCGAAATTGATTCTTTAAGAATTTACAGTTGTAATCATTAATTCTTGTGCATGGATAACTAGGTCTAAGAATTACCCTTTAATTAAATGCCATCAATCTTAAGCTTAGTTTTTACCCTGTAAAATTATCTGCATGTATTGTTTCCATGAAATGAAAATTAAGGGGATTCCACAGTTCCATTCCGGTGATATATATATATATATAGTTATTTCATAACAAAAATGTTGGGCAGTTGATCTTAGACTACTTTTAAATTTTATTGTTAGAATAAATCATATTTTGTTAAATATGAGATCATTTAAACGAAGGAATATTTTAAAAATATTATCATTAAAAAGAATAAAATTAGTTGATATTTGTTTATATTTGAGACTAATATACATGTTTTTCTTTTTACCTTTTATTTAAGATCGGAGTGAGTTCTGAACTACTGAGTATTACTTAAAGTGACATTAACATCCATTGCCTTCAAAATACTAGGTTACCCGAACCTGATCCTCATTGAAGTAAATTAACAGCTTCTGTATTATTTCTCATTGTGACATAATTTTATACATTTACACATGTATTGTATTATCAGAGTGTGCAATGTGAGAGCTGAACAAACATCTTTTGATAGATACAAAAGTGATTACAATTACAAAGAAAAAAGAGGACAGCTCCTCTTATATACAACAAATTCTCTAACAACCGAAGTAAAAACGGAAAAAATAAAAGAAAAACATGATTATCTAATTTTATATCGTTTATCTAACAGTAATATATTAGATACCATTCCAAACACAATCAAAGTGAAGGACAAAGGTTGCAAAAGAAATCCTAGTAACACTTTTTACCCCTCTCTTAATGGTTTAAAATTATTAAAATTTATTTAATTTAGTGAGTCTGACATCATATTAAAGAGTGTTAAGAGAATATATTTCTAGCACTATTTGAGATTAGAAATTTAGTAATCTAGGATGAGAATAAATAGTCCTTACCATCTCGACTTATGTGAGACTTTAGTCCTTACAAATTAAAACCATTTCAAATTGCTTTAGTTTTGAATTTCCTAATGGCACAATGATTTCAAATGATAACACAACATAACGCCAGTATTTTCTCTCACTCCATTGTCATTCAAGCTTAAAAGAAACACCTAATGGTTAATCAGTGGCTAATTAAAACCTTAACTTCAGATTAGTTTGGGATATCTGTGTAAAGGAATGAACTAATCCCTTATTGTGAAGTGGACAATGGCAGATTCTAAAATAATCAAAGGCATCAGCGACCATCTTTGGAGATAAATTCTTAAGCAGCATGAAACTTCAAAAATTAGACCTGGATTGTTAAGAGGCTAAAAGGAACCATTGATTTTCCATCTGTTTTTCAGAAACCTGCCAGTATTATACATGGACAAGTCTGTTATGTTCACGGGGATCCACTAATAAGGCAAAAACTAGCATCATAAAGTGAAGTGTTACACCTAAAATATGTACATTTTTGTCAATTTCCCTTGAAGTTCTAGATCCCTACCACAGTCGTTAGTCGCAGCAATAGGAATGGCAGAATGGATCGGTGTTGAGTTATCCTGATTCTCAGAAGGTTTCAGGATATGCTTAGCACCTGGACTAAGTTTCACAGGACCTGATTTTACCATGCCATCCAGGGGATAAGAATCAAAACCAAGATAACTTCTTGGATTTAGATTTTGAGCCTCACCCTGACAACCATTACTTCTTGCACCCACTTGGAGATCGAGTTCAACTGCTCTTGTGTTTTGCTGCAAGTTTGTCCCAGAGGTTTCTCGAGCCAGCTCAGTCATGCGAGTTACGTTTTTGTGCACTTGTATGCGAGGTAACTTGTTAGGTGTTTCAGGATCAACAAGATTATCTGCGGGTCTCTTCCTGGAATTTGTGCTTGGATGATAGTCTTTGGCAGTGATATCATCTAACTTAAATATGCTTCTACAACCATCAATGGCAGAGGGTGGTTTGGTAAAAGGGGAAACTGTAGCATGTGAAGGCTGAGAAATTGATGCTGGGTAAAACAGGGCCTTTGTGGGAAAGTCAGAAGTCACACAATTAGGAGGATACAAAAGATCTGCTGAATGATTCACAAATGGGACAGTAGAATTTCTCCATGTATTCGGAGGAAAACACGTACTAGAGGAGCTCCCTGGTATCCTTTCGTATTTTGAACCTAACGACCATGGTGGCAAATTTCTATAGGACCTCTTGAACCAAGATGATCTGGCCTGTTCTTCAACAATTGGGTGCAAGAAAGGAAATCCAAGGAATGAATTTGTGACACGATGGTGCTTATTCCAGGCATTCAGCTCACCGTTGCTTGAAGTAGACTGATTGAAATCGCAAGGACTAGATGGTATCTGAGAATGAAAGAAGAATCCTTGAGGTGCTCTATTGTACATTGCACCCGAAGGAGGCGCTTGGGTAATAGGTTGAAAATTAGAACTAGCATTTCTGCTGACTCCATTTTGGGATAGATGATTACTTTGCAGATTAAGAAATTCAGAGTTTGGACCATTCAACAGTAAGGTACTTTGTAATGCCTGATTGCTCTGAATGTTCACTGATTGTGACACATTCTCAGATTGCATCTGTAGTTGAGAACCAGGTGCCCTATCCGGCACAGAGCATCTCCCCAATAAAGAATTGTCCTTAGCAGCATCTACAGAATAATGCCTTCTTCTGGATTCCTCATCAGCCCAAAGAACTCCTCCCACAAATTGGTTCTTTTCTTTGCTGCTTCTTCCAATCGGAACATCTTTACCCATCAACCTCATTGTTGGTTGGCTGGAACTTGGTGAAACAAGACCCGAGCCTCCTCTTGGGGAAACCATTCCATATTCCTTGTGATTTGGCACCTTTTGAAGTTGATTCTGTTCAATGACAGGGTTTCTCATAAGGTTCAACTCTGAATCAAGTGGCTGGACATAGTGATTGGAACCCCAGTCAGAATTATGCTGGTAGATATCTGCTCTCTCCCTTCCATGTCCATGTAAATCTCTAACACTTAACCCGCCTGGATAATGCGAAATTGGAATTACCTGATCTCGAAGAGTTTTCTGAACAACATGCCTCTTACCAATACTTGAACATTCCTGGCTATTTTGACGGAGAACATTATTCACAGGCATGACATTTAAAGAACCTCTTGACGTACATGATGTCTCTGGCTGGTTCATCCCAACTTTTCCACTCGAACCTAAGTTGATTAGCTCACCATGAGAATTGAGGGGCAAACCATAAATGTTCTGCTCCATGTAGTTATTCCTTATACTTCCTTTCTCCCAACCAGGCAACAGAAAAGAATTATAAATCATATCTGCATATAACGATCTGCCACTCAAAGCTTGGCCATTATTATCATTGTCTCCACAAGTATGCAATGGAAATTCAGATCTATCATTTACTTCAATACAGGAAGCAGAATAAGACGGTGATGGCTCCATATATGTCCTTGTATCTGCCTTTGAATGCACAGTTCTAGACTGAAAAGTTGGATCTCCCAAATGATACATGAAATTCCCAGTATAACTAAAAGCTTCGGATTCACACGCTAGTGTATTTATACCAGAAGTCTGCCCCCCTTGAAATGCTGAAAGAGATCTTGAAACGTCAGCATGTGGGGAAAAATGCATAGTAGTTGTGTTGCCTCTATCAAACCGGTGTAAATCATTATCACAAATCCTCACATTCGATAATGATTCAGACTTCTCAACTAAGTGGTTTGATTTATCTTGAATGGTGTGCTTCAATAAATTTTGTGCAGCAACTTGTCCCAGAGTATTAGAAAACTGTTTACTTTCAACTATAGGACACACCTCCTTTCTCTTGTCTATGCTATTGGCAATGTAGTCATTTCTGTTTTGCTCCAAATTCGCAATTCCTTCAACATTTCCACAGGACTGCTCCTTTCCAAATGAAGAATCTAGCGCATCTGAAGATAAATCGAAAACGGTCTCATCAAATGATCTTCTCTTTTTTGGACCAAGTACGTAATCCTCAGCAGAAAATCTCACATGCTTGTTTGATGATGGCATTTGAACATCAAAATGGATTTCCTCAGTAACATCTTGAATATTACTACAACTTGAAGTACTTCCAGAAATATGTTTGTGATTCTTAAGAATACCACGAATGGGAGACACTGTTTTTTGTTGCTTTCCAACTGAGTCCCGGACTCTTACTTTTTCCTTCTTTTTTTCTGATAACGTCTGTAAACCCAATTTCTTTTCATGTGCTGAAGAAGCATCAATGTCGTCATCAAGTTTCACCTTTTTATTTCCAGCAGTACGTTGCTTTCTGAAGCTATATACTGGATTCTGCATCTTGCGCTTATAAGCATCTTCCTGAAACATTCAAAATTAACCAACTTGATTGAGCCTAATAGTAATAATTATAAATAACAATAATAACACACATAAGTAACGTAACAGCAAGTCAAGATTTCAAATCCAACACCTATTTTGCGGAAAAAAATAAATAAATAAATCCAACACCTATTCAGAAAGGAAAGACAGCTCAATGGAACCAAATTTCGGGTTCCAAACGGCTTATTTCCTATCCTTATCTAATTTGCTTCTTCCCTCAAGCTCCTGCAATTTTCACGCAGAGGAATTACACGTCTTAAAACTAGCAAGTATACATCCCGACCGATGAATTATAAGAATATGAGTTAATCACTTATACGTGAAACTAATATTTTAACTTGCACAAATTTATAATACAATTGTTGTGTCTTATGTTCGAGACACGACATATTCCCATCAAAACCAAAAAAATTTGTTCAATACATATATTAAATATTTAATTTATTTAATTAAAATTTATAATAAATAAATACTTTTAAACTATAAAATGTGGTCGAAATATTTTATACTCCTATCTATTTTTTATAAAAAAATAATAATTTTGAGAATAATTGTGTATCGACAATAATAAAAAAAGATGAAAGTTTTGCATCGGGATAAAAAAAAAAAAGAGGTATTTAAAGAAAAAAAAAAAAAGACAATGTGTGAGTAGTGAAAAATTTTCAAATACAATATAAATGTAATGTGCAATTATTTAATGAAAATTTTGAAGGACAAAATAATCTTAAAGATAAAGACTAAAAACGGTTGAGAGGAAAGTATTCCATTTATATATTGTTATAGATATCATAATTAAAATTTGTAATAAATAAATATTTTTTCAACTTATAAATTATATTTTTAATTTATAATAATTTATATTATTTAAAAAATTAAGTTTTTTTTAATATTAAAAATTATTTAAAATAAATAAATATGATAAGGCTTGATTGAAAAAGGATAAAAAGTTAAAAAGAATTTCACAAAATGCTCTCATTTAAAAGAAATTCTTAAAAATTCTTATTATATATATATATATAAAAGAAGAGTTCAAATGATATTAATGTAATTTTTATCAACTATTACATTGTTTAATAACTTTTATTAAATATAAATTTTTCAAAATTTACTGTTAGATTAAAATTCTTTTACTCTTAGATCATATATAAAAGATCTTATATTAATCTAAAATAACTTGATATTTCATTTTTATAAAACAAAATTGACGTAATATATTAATTTTAAAATATACTAAAATATGAACAATTTAATTAGTTTCAAATAATCAAATTATTCAATTTTAACAAAATTTTATATAAATATATATAGTGATATGAAGTTATAATTCAAAGCTTAGATTGACAAAATTCACATTTTAGATTTTAAACATAGATTATATTGATTCTCATTTAATATAAAATTATTAAACATAATAATTAACAAAAGTTACATTAATTTCATTTGAACCTTCCTGTCTATATATATATTACTCGAAATAAAAATCCAAAACATACATGCGTGTTTAAATTTTAAATTTTAAAAAGTTTAATTGATACAACTTTATTTTAGTTAAGATTTGTACATATTTCATTATAGTTAATGTTATTGAAAGAATTTAAGCATAGATTGTAATAATTGAAAAAACGAATTTTTTAATAGGATAAATAATATATAATTAAAAATAATAATTTGATTTATGAAACCTCACAAGACATGTCATTTTAATAAAAGAAATACATAAGAATGAATGTGCATATAGAATTTATCTTAGAATCACGAATCAAATTTATACAGAAAATAAAATAGTATACCATGCAAGAAGATTTGATGGAATGCTTCTTAAGTCATCATGCATCCCGTTGTTATGGTTTAATTTTCTAATAGAAAAGTTACTTTTTTAATTAAAGATATGTTTTATGAATTTATAATAATTACGTAATTTTATTAAAAAAAATTATATTTTAATACTGTTTTCTATATAACATTTTTTAGCTTAAATAATCGTACATTTTAATTTTTAAAACTTATCTGTTTCACTTAAAAGGAATACAATTTTTAAAATTTAACTTGAACTGTATTTGATGGACCATTTTAGAAATAACAGACGAAAATGATGCTTTTTCAATGCACTGGTTATAAATAGCTGGAGTGAGGAATGTAATATCACATGCACATGCAGCTGACGCAAATAAATTCTTCAAGAAACCACAACAAAACTCTTGAAATTTGTCTTTCTAATTATTTATTTTCAGAAGAGACAAATAAATTCATTACGGGTAAGGACTTCTGTTGTTTCCCTTTTGGTGGGGATAGTTAAAGACTTTAAAGAACAATTTATTTCTATATACTGGTATATCGTAAAAAAGCATGAATGATTCCCTAAACAACTGAATCATTCCCTTATTTTTGCTATTTATTTTCAGTTTGTGTAAATATTTGTAGCAAATGATAAGTGCCAAAACTTACAAAAGGCAGTAATTAATAAAGATTTAGTCAATACAAAGCATCATTAGTGATCATAAGTTACTTTCTTTTTCCATTTTAAAAGAAATAGTCAATACTTACAGTGTATGTTTAGTTTCGCTTGAAAATTTCCAAATTCATGTTAAAAGAGAAAAAAAAATTATAAATTTTTGTTTGTATTAATACAAAAGGTTCCAAACATACTCTTAGTAATACGTACAACATGAATAATTGATGAGTTTAATCTGATGCAACCTTTTCCTCCCAAATCAATTATGTAGTATCACATTATTTATTATTTAATGAATTTGAAGATGTTAACAACTAATTAAAATATCAAATCATTAAATAATGTAAAATCAAATCACAATTTTTTAATTTTAAATTAAGAAAATATATATTAAGTCATTAAATTTATGCTAGCTTATCGTCGATCTTTTCATTTAAAAAATTATGAAATTAGAGAATATTTATTAACAAATTAAATTAATACTCAAGTTTTCTTAATTTTTTAAGCAATACTCAAATTTATTCCATTCACGTGCAGTATAATGAGGTGTTTATAAATAATTATTAAAAAAATATACTCCACTAATTAACTGCATTCAAAAGTTTTTTAAATTTTAAAAAATCAAGTGTATGTAATTTATATTTTCTTACAAATAAAATATCTTAATAATTAAACTAACCTTTTCTTAAATATTTTTAAATCCATTTTTATAATTTATCCTAATTTATAGATAGTTATGTGATATTTTTATTCTTTAACAATTTTTCCTAGTTTCTTTTTTCATTGTATTTTATGGTAAAATAATTAAAGTTGTAGTAACTTTATAATCGTATTCTGTCGCAAAATATTTACTTTTTTGACGAATGATAAAGGGAAACTTTATGTTTCACAGAATAGTATACATGAATTTAGATCTTTCCCGCAATTTTCTCTCTCCAGCCTCTCTTCTGTAACATTAATAACTATGAGATATATTTAATGACTTAAATTTAATCTTATAATTAATATAATTTCTTAAATGATTAAATTTGAGTCATTAGATATATCTAATGGCTATTAATGTTGCAAGAGAGAGACTGGAGAGAGAAAATTAAACCAATCTTATCAATTACTAAGTGTTTATAAAATAAGATTTTTACCCTTTTATGGTTTTATTAACATAATTTTTTATTATTAAAATATTTTGTTATAATTTATATATATATATCGTTTTTGTTTTCTTTTAATTTATATAATCTTATAAATTTTATTTTTTAGTTTTTATAAAAACAGAAAACAAGAATTAAAAAAGAACAAAAATAATATATATAAAATTAAAATAAAATATTTTTAATTATAGAAACTAAAAAAAATAAAATTGATAAAAAAGGGTAATTAACTTAAATACCCAATTTTCTTCCTAAAAGTTCGATTCAAATAATTTAGCTCTTGATGAAAAAAATGTTACTAAATAATCCTTTAAAATTATAAATGTCGAACACTTTATTCCTTTCATTTAAATGCTTATATATCTCATATTTATAATAATCTTTAAAAGCTAAATGATTTTTCTTTTTTAGTCATCAAAGTACCCAGGTGTAATTTTAATTTTCAAGAACTAATTTGGATATTCATAATTTGTATTTACAGGAGTAGCAATGCTAACAAAATTAAAAACACTTACGTCTAGCAAAAGTACAGTCACACGGTTAAGGTTAAATATTAATTACTACTACTACAGTTGTGAAAATCATCTAAATCTTGATTAAATATATATATTTCGATCGTGCACATTTTAGTTTTAAGAAAAAATATTCAAGAATGAACGAATCCCTTACAAAATTTAAATAAGCAAAAATTACCTCTGATTATAAAATGACGTTTAATTAACAAAAACATCTAAGTAGAACATCTATTTCAAAGTCAAAAAAATCCTTAAAAAAGATATTGAGAAGATTGAGTTAATAAATTTTACAAAAGAAGAGGGGTCTATAGGGCAAGCAAAATGTATATGAATCGTGATCTTTATACTCATTAGTTGATAACAAAAAAAAATAACAGTAGGGTTAGAATCAGAGTAAGAGGGAGATGATGGAGGGTAAAGTTATAACTATAACTACAGATGTCATTTTCTTCTAATGCAATCCAACTTTGGAATTGCACTGCATTAATATGATCAGTTGGTTTTTGAGTACATATCCAGTCTAGGGAAAAAGTTAGCACCGACCAAAAGATCACACTATATCAGCATCGTGCAACCTCCATATGTACTGATATGAGCCAGAATAACCATGTAAAGGTATTACTTTCAGGCTTATCTTTTCCGTAGCTATATACTCTCCTCCTAGGTTGTGTGATCTGTTAGCCACTCAATGCTTAAATTTATTTTATTTTATCTAAAAAATAAGAATTATTTACCTCACACCCCTCTTTTCATACTTTTCCTATTTGAGAAAATAGTATATATACATTATAATTTTCTATTGTTTTAAATACATTATATGAATAATTATGATTATGTGATGAAAAAAAATTAAAAATAACACTATCAAAAAATACACAAATTCCTATTCAATTGGTTTGACAAGAATAAAGTTATTTGCACATAATGTTTTTATACTATTTCTTGTAATTTATTTTCTGTGTCACATTATCATTTTTTCAATTTTATGTTTTTCTGTCTCTTTCGAATGCAAAAGCTATTACAAAAAAGTATAATTATTGTGTAAACGATGAACTATTCTCCCATAAAAAAAAAAAAAAAAAAAAAAACCCTCTGGCACAAAACAAAATCAAACTAGTCTTCCATTCAAATTACCACCCACAACACTAAAACTATTATTTATGCAAAAATATTAAACCTACACACTACTTTAGATAGAATTGAGGTGAAAGAAAAAAGATAAATGCCATAAAAGACTAAAAATAAAAAAGTGAATGAAAAATAATATGAAAAAAAGTGTATTTATAATAATAATAATAATAATAATAATAATAATCCTTATACATAATTATAATCCTTATATGGCCCCCCACCCCCACCCCGCCTTGACTCACGAATCATGACGATTACTGCATAAACACAATTCGTAGTATACGCTCATACGATAAAGATCCATATTACTTCAACCAAAGTCCAAACCGTTAAGTTTTCAGACAGTGTCCCTCTCGCATGGCATAACAAAACATCCCTATTACAAACCCAGTGAACGATCCTCTAAATTCTGAACCTTCTTCAATCACTGATATCCCACAACCCAAACCTTATCCAACCTATGTCAGAAAAACTAGCCATCATCCTCATAGAAGAGAATACAGTTTCTAGTTCACGTGGCCCATAAGATAATTACGCCCAAATTATTAGCTAATAGTAGTAACTAAGAAGAAAAAACCCCCCATCACGCAAACACCTAGTAGCTAGCAACTCCGTGAATAGGCCCTTCAATATTTCTACCCCAACTTTCACACATGTGCCTAACTAAAAACCACTCACTCTCTTCCACTAATTATCCGAAACGTGACACTATCTCTCAAACGCGCACCCTTTTATGCAGAAAAAGCAACAAGTAGAGTTCGCAAACCTATTATCGCATCGCATGACACGATCAAATACCTCAACACAGAAACTACACTATTGCCTATTGGGTTATATTTTATGCCACCAATTGTATCCTTACTTGCAAATTATGGAACTAGCATGCATACATGAAGATTAACTTATATTTTATGTCATGAAAACACCACACACACATATATAAACATATTGACATGTATGATAATAACAGCGTACCTTCTTCGCAGTGAACTCCTTGTTTAGCTGCTGCTGCTTCTTCTTCTTCTTCTTTCTCTTGTTTATCTTCTTACTTTCACCGTTCAGAGACACAACGCCACGCTTTTCCATCGTGTTTTTCTTCCTCAAAACCTTCTTCTTCACCTTTTTCTTCTTCGTCACGTTCTTGTTAGTACTCTTCTTACTCTTCACTACGGCGCCGGAGAAACCATATTTCCCGAGTTCTTCCCTGTTCGTCTCGCCTTCACCGACTTTCTCAGCCTCCGCCGCGGGTTTGCCGCCGCCGGAGGCGTCGATTTGCGGCGCGATGGTGAGAATATCCGCGATAGAGCGTTTCTTCGGTGCTTTCGGCTTCAGGCTCAGTCTCCGCCACCGCTCGTCCTTCATCGCCTCCGCGAGACAACCGTCGATGTGCGCGTTCGCCGCCGTCACCGTCGCGGCGTTGAAAACCCTACAAACAGGACAAAACATCTCCGATTTCTCCTCCTCCGCCGCCGAATTCGCGCTTCCTCCAACGGATTTCGCCGATTCGAAGGAAATTCCGTTGGATCTAAGCGCCTCGAGCCACCGGAACTTCGCCATCTCAATCGAAACCACGTCATCGTCGAACGGCAAGAGCTTCAGCACGGTCGCGATCTCCGGCGACGGCTTCTCCTCGACGTCCTCTCTCAGGTCGAAAATCTCCGCGATGGAACGCTTCTTCGGCGCCTTCGACTTCGACCGCCTCATCCGCCGCCGCTCCTCCCTCACCGTCCGCGCGAGACAACCGTCGATGTGCGCGTTCACCGCCGTCAGCGTGGCCGCGTTGAAATCTCGGCACACCGGACAAACCATTTCCACCTTCTCCTCTTCCTCCGCCGCAAATCCGCCTCCATCAAACTCATCCTCGTTCTCCAATTCACTCTCGTCGGAAACCGCCTCGCTCCGCCGAATCTCCGCTTCCTCTTCTCCGGCGAGGTTGGATCTCAGCCGGGCGAGGTCGCCGTACCACCGGCGCGACTTCGGAAGCATCATCGGAGGCAGCGAGGAGTGAGCCTCGTGGCGACTGACACCAGCGGCGACGAATGGCCAGCACTTGAAAACGTCGAGGGACCTCATCTTGGAAGTGTAGTCCCTGGCACAGCGAATCATAAGCGCAGAAGAGAGAAAGAGACACGGTTAGTTACAGTCACAGTCATAACAGTGAAAACAAATTAAAATTAAAATAAAGAAAGCTCTATCTCTATATATATGATATGCCTTATGGAGAATCCATGGAATGTAACTGGCATGATTGGGTGACACACGAGAAGAAGAAGATGAAGAGAGAGAGAGAGAGAGAGAGAGAGAGAGAGGTATTATTTTAGCGCTGAAGGGGAAGGGAAGAGGGTGTTGTTGCGTTGTGAGTGTGATTTTCCGTAGATGTTTGTTTACCTTTATGTGGCGTTTTTTCTATCTTAATTTATGACTGAAAAGGACGTATGAGAGAGAGGGAAGTGCGACCCAAGCCTCAAAAAGCGACTCACGCTCCACGCACTCACCCAGTCACCCTACAATACATACACCTATCATCCACCAACATCATATTCTCTCTACTCTTCCTTTTTTCTTTTCCTAATTTCTCTATTAACATACATTTAATTATTCATTAATTCCTTTACACATATTGAAACATACACAAAAATATAGCTAAATCTAAAATTTAAATAATTAATAAAACCTAATTTAAAATTATCACATGTTATTAAAATTATATTTCTTTTTTTTAGTAAAATAAGAATATTTTTTATCAGAAAACTAATGACTAGTTTTTTTTCTCTTAAGGATGGAGATTTATTTAAAAAGTTTATATTATATGAACTATAAGCTTGAATTTCATTTATGTGCTTAAAGTATAGGGTTGTTTACCAAACTATATTATACTAATGCTTAAAATTTGTTGTTTGAATTTTTTTTATTTAGTATATTATTTAATTGCATTTTATTAATTTATAAAAATATTTATAATGAGATTTTTATTTTTAAATTATTAATTAGTTGGATAAATGAAAAGGATAAAGGATAATTTAAATAGAAAATAATTTGAATACAAGTGACAACGGACATGTGATAATGATATTAAACTTTCCCATAACTAGAGATATAAACTTTTGTGATAAATAACATATCGTTCGTAATAGTTTCCTAAAACTAATTAAAATAATATATTAGAGCAAATTAGAAGAAAAAAAAATATATTAAATTATCATCAATTCAACACACTTTTCCGTTTGAAAATGAAATAAAGAGAGTACGTATTAAAATGCATGCCTTTCTTGCTTTATATGGTCTACCGAAGGGTAAAGTCGTATTTACATCATTTAATATTTTTTACAAAGATGAAAAAGTTTGAATTTTCTTTTTTGTACTGAAAATGTTTGAACTTTGACCTGGTATACGTTATTCAAATCTCATATTATTACCAGCTTTTTCACCTTATGTCTCAGAGAATGAATTGTAGTTTTTAAATTCTGTCATAAAACTAAAACAATAATTACATTTTAAATAAATTAATTCAATTACAGGCTAAATATAATGTAATAAAAATTCGGTGAAAATATTACCCACATATTATGATAAATTTTCTGATGAAATCATAATGGACGCTATATACCCAAAGGAGTAAAATGCTTAATTAATTTTAAAAAATTGTATATTTTGATCAGTATTTGAAAAAAGTTGTACAAATTTTAACAATTTAATGTGTTAATTTATTTTTTATTTTTTATTTATAATTTATGTAAAATGGTCAGTATATATATATATATATTATTTATGTTAGGAAAAAAATTAATTAAGAAATAATGAATTGTGTATGCATTAACTTTATAAAAAAAATATTTTAATTTAATGCTCATTAATTAAATGGCTAAATGCATTACATAATTTATTTTGAGTAAATTACATTTCCTTCTTCATGAATATTATATTGTCACCTCTTATGTTAAGAATTACAGTCTTCTCCTACAATGGATCGCAAAATATGATACTTTACACATTTTTTAAATTTGTTGCTATAATGATCTGATAGGTCACCAAGTATAAGGCTATCATGCAACATCCCTCAATAGTTCATACAACTATATACATTTACACGGGTAAAAAGAACTACAACTATATACATGTATAAGTGCCAACCCAAAACCACGTGAGAACTTGTAAAATTGTGGTTTTTCAAGTAAATTGATGGTGAATAACTTAAGATTATGATTCTTGTCGAGAAAAGATAACCACTAGAAATGGAAGGTTGAAATGTGTATTAAAAACTTGTATGTTTTTCATAATGAAGTAGTAACGCTAGTCACTTGAAACACGAAGAGTAATCACATGAAATATTGGGTATTTTTATATTGGTTCATCTCAACCATTGAGACTTCGTCTAGTTTTCAATCTAACTAAATTGAGTTCTACTATCTTAAAATAAAGATACAAGTATTCTTTCAGTAAGTCACTTTCTAGCTCAACACTAAGTATGCTGATTTCCTATTCAAGTAATTACTCAAGTATTCTTTCAATAACAAGTCTCTCCAAGCTTAACATCTAAGTATTCTTTTGCAGGCAATCCTCTCTAAATTCAAAGCAAGTATTCTTTTACAGGCAATCCTCTTCAAATTCAAAGCAAGTATTCTTTTACCAATAAATCTCTCTAGACTCAACCTTATAACAATGATTATAAAAGTTACACAAATGTTGTGTTCGTCTCACTTACAAGAAATAATGAAGTTTATGCACAAGTGTATTTTAGAGAGAGTATATGTTTCTGTATAAGTGTATTTATATATGCATTCTTTTTTTTCTTGAGTTTTGAGTCTTTTTATATAGTAGCTAGGAGAAGATGACTGTTGCAAAACTTTGAGTCTAGCTCACAAGTTTGATTTGTCTAATTCATTATCTTTTCTTGTGATGACAAGTAACCGTTTGACTCATTTAATGTGAGCATTAAATGCATTTTACCCAATGGTACCTCTTATCTAATCAAGGAAGCTACTTATCAACTTTCCACACCAAACAAAGCTTGTAGAAGTAATGTTAGTGCAAAAAAATTATAGCAATGACTTTACCTGCTTTTCTTCATGATTTCAAGGATTTTGAATCTAACAAAAAACTTAATTTTTTTTCTCTTTAATAGATTTGTGAATTCCAAAATGATTTTCTGGTTTGATCTGTTAAGAAATTAAGCATTCATTACATGTCGTTAGTCTCAATAAATAATAAGGATTTAATGTATATGAGATAGATTGTATGCTTCATTTGATTTACATCGTCTTATAAACAATTCGCGTCTTACATTTCGCCTGACAAACATTTCCACAAAGACATTTTTGAAGACATTTTTTCTTATAAAAATATTTCGTTTGTTAATATTAAAACTATAAATTCAAAAAATCCAATATCGTCTTTTGAGTTAACAATTCTTGATATTGAGAGTAATCCAATAATATTTAAGTAATAATATTGGACCAAGTGTATTTAAAGTTAATCTTTAATTATTTTGATTGGTTAATTAGTATATTAATTGGAGATGATTTGGTGATAACTATGCTTGAGGGAATGGTGTGTGATACTAATAATGCTGTGAAATTGGTTAATTTATTGATTAAATTTCTTAGTTTGGTGTTGATCTCCTAGTGACTATGTTGAGATATTAATTTGTGATGAGATGAGTTTATAATAGGGAGTTCGAGATAATTTGATGACGGTCAGTTTAGGGATACAATCCTTGTCATTAATGGCAATAAAAAAGTGATTAAGTTAACAATATATAATCATAGTAGTAATGGGGGATCTTGACATCTTGTAATGATCCTAATTGTAACAATCTGTTATGGTCCCTACACTTAACGACAAACAACTAGTAGTGAAAAAATTACTAACTTAGGGTTGTATACCTACAAATACAAGAATATGTATTATAAAGCTTGTATATAGAGATAAAAATAACTATTCAAATATATGCAATACAAATACAATAATCCTATAATATAAACTATACAACCTAAGTTGTTGATCAAACAACTACTATTTATACAAGAACCACCCAAAGGTAGTGATCAAAAAGAGATATCTAACTTTTGCACCATACATGGTACCAACTAAGTCTTAGAGAAGATTCAACACAACTATCTACTTCAAGGGTCAACTTCCCAAGAAATATTTTTTAACAAATTGAACTCTTAAAGCACCATTACACAATATCTACACAATTAGTCATACAACTTTAAAAACCTCTCCTTTACTCCTAGGTTGGTCATCTCAACACAACAACACCATGCCTAAATGCCTAAAGCATTATCAATATTTATCATCTCAATAACATGAAAACATCATGCATATAGCAATTTCGACACAGATATACAACCACACAACCTACACCTCATCCTAACTTTCAACTAGCAACTCACAACACAATCATCACATACCACATTGTCCCTACAACTTATTCATCACCATTTATTTACTTAACAACTAAATCAACAAGTATTCAACAAATCATCAAATAAACCAACATGTTTTTCCTTTAACAATTAGTGGCCAATGCCACACACGTAGCTCCTGGCGCCATCCAGGTAGGGGACTCTCTACCTCGTCCATGCATGATGTTACTCAACTCGCGCTCAACATGGATAAGGTAGAGGCTCTTATGACCTTCACCTAGCATGAAAAAGTATCAAGCCTAGCCTCATCTTAGGCAGAGTCTTTACCTAACTCACGCCCAACATCACCATACTAGCGCCCGACATCATCCAAATAGAGAGTCTTGGTTTGGCCATGCTGGGCGCCACTTTACCTTGGGCTATACATCACCAAGTCACATACCTCTCAATGTTCTCATGACCAACACCATTTAAAACACTCTCAGTGCTATTCTAACCTGAGACGAGTCTCTCTCCTCACACTTGACACTACCGATCATGCGTCCGATGTGATCGAGACAAAGAGCTTCATGTTGGAACAACATTCGACACCATGAAGGTTCACCTAACATGATGAGTAATCTACACTGATGAAAATCATGATCACCTATTCCACCTAAAACTCAATCACACTAGTACATAATACACTTTTTACGTTGGCCATTTTAGGGATTTTTACGTCAGAAAAACTTCTGACGTTGAAGCGGTAGACGTAAATTTACGTCGGGGCGCGAAAACGGACGTAAATTTACGTCGGACATGCCAAGGTCCGACGTAAAAAAGTTATAAAAAATTTATAAAAAAAAGTTGAGTGCAAGGAGAACGGGCCGTTCTGCAAGGAGAACGTCCCGTTCTACTTGGAGAACGTCCCGTTCTCCTTGGAGAACGGCCCATTCTCCTTGTAGAACGGCCCGTTCTGCTGCAGATCCACCCACGTGCAAAGCATTTTCTCCCTGTGAAGAAACGAGAGGGTG